TTCTCATAAAAAGTAACATGGTGCATATGATATTGTTGTTATCATTATTTTTACATTTTCTTGTGTTGGGTAGTTGACCATTTCATGGAGGCTAAACCTGTTAATCTCTATGTGATACCCAATGTTGGAACAAATCTTGTTTTGCAGGCAACTTCTTTGCATCATTAAGTTCAAACTTCAGCGATATTCGAAGACTTCTTTTGTGAATGGCGCTTAAGTTATCCCCATATCCACGGATAGACTGTCCTAGAAAACAATCTCCTGCAGAATTTTTGCTGTAGGAGAATATCATTCGGATCCTTACGAGAAATTTTCAATGCTCATGATAATTCATTTCCCAGGTATCTGCAATGATACTTTTGATGTGCTGTTTTTATTTCAAAGAAAAGATTTTGTTTGAATCATAAGGTCCGATTTTGGGAGTCTTCACCAATATTTGTGCACCAATTGTTCTGAAATGTTCTGTTCAGGACAAAGATCAATCGGGCAGATTGCCTCGTAGAGAAATAATGTACATGAGGGGTATTTATCCATGTTGTTGCTAATAAATTGTTATGTTCACTTCTTTTGCTGAGTTTATTGTTTGCTCTTATCATTGTACATCTACAGTCGGATATCTCATATATGACTTGTTTGGTGAAGTGGACTGTTTAGTAATTTCTATTTGGAAGAATCTACTAAATTTTTCCTCGAAATGTTTAGTGTGTAGTTGTAAATAAAGTTGATTGTAATAAGATTTTTGTTAGATGCTTGATTAAGATAAGAAAACTAATTAATGTTCAAGCTACTAAAGATAACATACAAACATCATATGCTAAAATAAATTTCGGTTTAGTTAGGAATGTATAAAGAACAAAATATATGTACTTGGGGCTTGTTTGGCTTATGCTTTTGCTTATAGAAAAGCTCCCTGAGAAGGTACTTTAAATCAACTTTTTCTAGAACTTATAGACATATATAGCATTTTCAAAAAAATATTTGAACGAGTACAAAATATATGTTCTTAGGGCTCGTTTGGTTTATGCTTTTACTTTTGTTGCTTATGGATAAGCTTCTTAAGAAGTTACTTTAGATCAACTTTTTCTAGAACTTGTAGACATAAAGCATTTTGAGAAAAATATTTGAACATGTTGAAAAGCAGCCATAGAAACAGTTTTTTAACTTTACAAAAATTCTTACCAATTGGATCCTTAAAACACTTAGGAGTACACTGTAACAATATTATATTACAATCTAGGAGTTATATGAATCGTGTATAATTATGCTGCTTTACCATGGCCAATGTGGCCCTGACGAAGTAGCAAAACTCAATCGTGCAAGCACGGATATATTGGCATCTTTATTTTTCCTGTCCTAGTACTTGAGAGATTTTCGAGTAAGAAATAGCTGACTATTACAACCTATTCCCATGGACTTGTTATAAGTTTTAATTATTCACGATGTTAGGTATTGCAAAAATCTCCAACTAGATTTCTGCAGTCGATGAAGATATACAGATTTTTGTGCCTCAACCTTTAACAACAAAACCTCGAGGATTCCATATGAATTTCTAATAATGTGTAATACATCCATTTTTAGTACATTAGTTGAATTGCCCAACAAAACCTCGAGTATTCCGTATGAATTTCCTGGAATTGCCTAACAAATATCAACACCCTTGGTTTGTTCTCGAGTAATTAACATTTTTCTTTGATCCACTCAACTTGAGATATATTTCTAATTATTCAATACTTCTAAATTACGAAAATTCAGAAAGGCTCTGTAGATTGAGTAACGAGTTCTTCTATAAATGGCATGTCATCTTGCATTTAAAAAGTCATTTAAGACTTAGTAAATCTAATAGACATAATAAAGGGACCAACGTCGCCAATAGAGGGAAACTAGAGGCACAGGTAATCTAAGTTGATAAGATTAAGGATAAGCCCCTATTTGTTTACAATTCTTTCAAAACTCTTTTTTCAATATACTCATTTTCAACCACACATTCACACAATAAAATATTCTACACATAAACCCAATATTTTTCCTTATTTTTTAACTACACCTTCTCCAAAAATTCACTATTCAAAACAATGTTTTTCCAAAAAACTAACCACCAAACAGGGTTAAGAAATTACCAAATTCTCAACTAGCGAAAGGAGACTTAATATTATAAAGTTGGAAGCGCACACTACATTCCAGTGTCCTTACATTACCACTCGGGTAGATGTCGATGCCAAATCCCAACTAGATAGAAGTGGCTTTATTATAAAGAAAATACAAAAACTGCAGAGGTAAAAAGCATTCACAAAGCATATTCCTGTCCTGATACGTACAAGAAAACATGCTATACACACCATTCCATGAGTTTGTGGTAGAGAGAACTGTTTCGAGAGGCTGCATACTTGAGGTCTTCTGAACGAACAACATATGACCAGCAAAGGATTCGGTATGTCTAGTCTTCAAGTTCAATGATTTTCACCACGGATGCATCGCCAACTTTCTGGCATACCACAACTCGATCATGTGGCTTTATAACACCAGATGCCTTGCCATGATCCAGAGCAACCTTCAATACTGACTCATTTGTTGCATTTGTGGACTCAGCCTGCAGAAATAAAGCAAAGAATCAATGAGTCGCAATAAAAAAAGCTCACAATTAGAAACGTGATTTTCAGGAGACTGGGGACCTAAAACTCTAATCAAAATTGGTGCAGACAAACATCTATCTGTTCAGCTTATTTTGAAAAAATAATAAACTGGATTGTTTTGCAGCGGAGCTGACCTCCCCTGAGACCAAGATCCTCAAGGAGGATTTGACTCAAAGCTTGCTTTTCAGTTGCATGGAGACTAAGCCCCTGTTTGGTGGCCTTAAAATTTTAAAACCATAGTTTTGGCAGTATTTTTTGAGAATGTGTCGTTAAAAAGTAAGGAAAAGTTATGGGTTTACGTGTAGAATATTTTGTTGTGTGAATGTGTGGTTGAAAAATGATCATGTAGCAAAAATTAAATTAAATTAAAGGTTGTCAAACAGGAGCTAACAGACATGTTAAAATTTTGATTATCTCAAGCTTCACTTAAAGCCACCATGCTCGTAATTCTATTACTTTACATGCATTGTCCCTTCTGAAGGTAACTTCTGTTTCTTCCAAAAATTTTTTTTCGAAAGATCTGTTTTTTCCAAATTTTTAAGATCCAAGTTTAACATTGACAGATTACAATAGGATAAAAAACAAAAAAAAATGATGTTGATCTAAAAATCAAGGTGGACTACAATAGCACATGCAGTAGACATTTAACTGAATAACATCTGAATACTAACCACGGCTGTTTTCACAACAATTTCTTAGCATTAATGAATCGTGCATAGTCAAGGGAATATAAAGCATGTAGAAGTAGAATTGTAGTGTATATGTATGCTTTACAGATACAATAACTCAATCTGAAAAAGTCTCATCAATAGCCATTGAAACATTGAGTTTGATGCATAGTAGTTCTAATTTTTCCCAGTGTACATATTTAGAAAAAGTAATCATCAAAATGCAGAATATGGGGATGGTCTAAGTGGCTCACTTTTCTAGTAAACAATAAATATAAACAAGGAAGATATCTTACAGGATGTCGAGGATCTGCAAGCATTGGGAAAAGGCCTCGGACTATCAGAGATTGCCTTGCCTGCCAATAAGATCACTTCACAGTGTAAAATAAAAAAATCGTGATTGCCAAAAAACAAATTCAGTTGCTAGAAGGGGGAACGAAAAGAAGAAAATGAATTTTGCATGAATTAGATTAAACACCACATAATACAGTTGCTTCTTAAATGGAAATTTAACATAGATAAAAGTAACAAATTTAACATACAAAAATGACAGCACAAACATGAAAAGGAAGCAGCCACTTTGGATTAACAAACTGAAATACCGTTTATTTCCTCTAGCACACAATCAGGTGAAGATAAATGTTGAACCACTTGATCTAAAAACTTGAGCTATTAGAGAGAGCTACATGTACATTATTTAAAAATTGTCTTCAACAACGCTGCTCAGTAGGTGTGGTTCAAATTTTCCCCATCAAAGCCCAACGTGCAAAGTTTTCATTAAAAGGAGGACGGTGAGACTTGAACCCATGCCGACGTTCACTTGATCTAAAACCATGTAAACCACTTGATCTAAAAGCTTAAACTATTAAAGAGGGCTACATATATATCATTTAATTATTGTCTTCAATAGAAATTATGTTTGTTAGTTGCTAAATTCATTTCTAATATACCTTAGCAGAGTTGATATATAACTGGATAGTTTTGATCAGTGCTTAGCATACATAAAATTTGGATAGCTATCCTGTAGTACAAGTCTCCTTACAGGTATTACTAACCGTCTTGAAGATACTAACAACTGGAATATGGAATAGGCAATACGTAGCAACCCAAACTCTGTTCTTCGGACATCATAGGAGGCTAAACACATCATGTAACAGTTCTTAAAAGGTAGAAAGGGAGACAGATCAAGAATAATCAAGTTGAACATAATCCCATATCAAGGAAATGAGTAAATTCTCCAAGCAGTGCATCATTTCATTAAACTTATCATTCACAAATAAAAACAATGCACCAGCTAAAACTGTTTTCTTCATATCATGGACAAAAAATTTTAAAGTGGTCTAGCAATCAATGCAAAGGGTTCATAATAAAAGCAGAATGGGACATGTTTTCAACTTAATATCTAAAATGTAACATAAGATACCTCAAAAGCACCACTAAAAGTCCAGTGGAGTTGATTTGTCTTTAGGCGAGGAATGACAACAGATAATACAGGCATTGTAGGCCTGTACTTGGCTATTAATCTGCATTGTGGAAATTAAAATTAGGAATTGTATTGCTACATATGTGAATGACACAAACAATTTCACAGCCCTATGGGAATAAATACAGAAACAAAATCCAATTTCTTGATGACGTGCAAAGGCTGGACTACTCATTTTGAAATAGTTACTTTTAACCACAAAACCTCACATTGCTGACCAACACGCACATGCATCTCTCTCTCTCTCTCTCTCACACACACACACACACACAGAGATAGAGGGAGAGACCTTGCAGCTCTTCCCGATGACGTGAAGCAGATTATTACAGATGCTTTCACCTTGATGGCAGCTCGTACCTATACAAACAAAAGCAGTCTATGGTGATTTCAAGTGAAAAGCCACTTACTGAAGTAAAGCAGGTTGTATTACAGAGTATAGAGACAAAACTCCTCGAGTAAAGAGCAAAGAAGTGCAACTCTTGAGCAACTTACTGCAGAGGCAGCAATTGATTCTAAGTGGGTCATAGGTTCGCCAACATATTTAACAGTCTTCTTGAAGTAGTGATCATGATTATAAACCTTTTCTGCCTGCAGAAGAAAGCACATTGAGAAATTTATTCAAGGCAAACAAATTGGTTCTTCAAATTTCCACATTCTGCCATTTCGCGGTTTGACAGCAAAGTCAGGAAGAAAACTGGGGAAGACCTCTAATCAAAAATCACCCATAGACGTGATATACAAGCCAAACAACATCTTTCTACTTCTTAAACAGGAGAGACATTAATTATTTTCTGGGTTGGAGGTGTTGGAGGGGTGAGAGAGATGTAATGAATTTAATTCTGTGCTGATTAGCTACTACGGTTAAAATCAAATAAACTTCACCTCAGCACAAATTTTACCGACGACTGAAATAGTATCAACAGGGTACAATCCTCGAAGGGTCTCCGCACCTAAAAGAATGGCGTCACTGCCTGAAACAATGGAAAAGGATAGAAGATAAGTTTTCAAGTTGTTATTGTAATAGCTATCGTAGAAAATGTATGCACGCAGACAAAATGATCTCTCATAGTTGCAAACATAAGTACAGGTGTGAACTTTCTGCAAACACTATGAAACTAATCAAACAATCGAGATCTATTCTGAGAACTGTACCATCCAAGACAGCATTGGCAACATCAGTTGCCTCAGCACGAGTAGGTCTCAAGTTATCAGTCATACTGTCTACAACACGAGTGATGACAGCAGGTTTCCCAGCCATATTACACTTGTGAACGGCTGCCTTTTGAAATAAAAATACCTGATTACATTAAAAGTTGTCAGAAACGGGTGATAAATGGTCCACCAACAGTGATTGTGTGAAGAATGCAGACATCAATAGGAAACCCTAAGGGATTGCCACGAGGAAGCCCCAAAATAACAGAAAGGGAAAGGAATATGTTGAAATAATTGAAGAGGGAATTGTTCCAAGTCTTTATTGTTTCAGAGACCTTGATCTTATAGCCATTATCCACAATTCTACATTTATTAATTGCACTTTAATGTAAAAACTTCCTACTTATTTTCATCATATCTTTCTTTTTATGTTTTACAGGGCGTGAAGGGACACTGATGGGGCAAATGAGCATCTATTCACCAAGCATCAATATATCAAGTTAGTATATCCAAATTCAAAATGGACCTTCTCAGGGGGGAGATCTATCCCTAGATTTCCACGAGAGAGGATGATGCCATCTGCTTCTTGGAGGATCTCATCAAAATGGATCAATCCCTGCAAAAGAATGTAAGGAAAATAAAAACGAGATACAATTTCTGATCAAGATTAACATGAAGCTTCTTTTAAGATCATTCGAAAAAATCAAACAGGAATCTAACCTCTACATTTTCAATCTTCGCAAAAATCTGGGTTCGACTGAGATCACCCAAGTTAGAAAGAAACTCACGAGCCTGAAGACCGGTAACAAAGCCCACCACTTATTAGACACCGAAATGGAATAATCATAAATAGGTAATTCTTTAATGCCTAAATTATTTTGCGCCTGATAGTCAATAAAATATAAAATGAAAATGAAGAGTACGTTGTAGAGAGAAATAATTAAAAAGACAATAATATAAACAAAAAACACTCCTTACATGTCTAACATCCTCTGCATGTCGCGTATATGAAAGTGAGAGAAAGTCTATGTTGTTCCGAACTCCCCAAGTGCTTATGACCTAAAGTTGTTACACAGATCATGTAAACTCTAGATTAAAACCGAAATTGTTTAGAGACAATTTCAAAAGCAAAATCAAGCGAAGTGAGAATGTAGTTATCACCAAGAGCTGCACATCACTAAAAATTGGAACAGATGTAAAATCTTAGGTGTTGAAAGATCTTAAATAAGTTCTCAATTGGTCATAGGATCAACAAGGGGACATGGCAAAAGCCTACCTCCTTATCTTTATCAGTGAGGGTAGGACGATCAATGCGAATCTGAGACACGTGTAGTGTGTACAATGGCCCATCCAAGGTGGCAGAATTCTTAATCAGACAAACTACGTCACCCTCTTTCACCTCAGTTACCTGCACATTAGGAAATCCATTATGCATCAACACGTGTATATAAAATCACATTGCAATCCTTCATTGACATTCACAATCAGTAGCTGATGTTTACTCATCCACAAGTTTAGCCTAGGTTCAACAAAAATGAATAAAACTAGATCCTAGGCCAATCTACATCCACCACAGTAACATAATGGATCTGCAACCAGTAATAATGGACTTAGGAAATCAAACATTCCTGTAAATCGACAAGAGACAAATATTGACCAGGTGGCGTACTATTTTAATGTTTCCATACCTCCAGCCATACAGAAGTTGTTTCATTTCCACTGAACAAGTATTGACCAATGAAAATACTATCTCCCGGCTTTACTGCCTGCAAGGTCAAAAGGCTCCAGTTAGATTTTAACAGAAGTTCAAGATGGTGATCGTCTGTGCGCAAGGACAGAAGCTCGCATTTCAGGTGTCAGAATACACGATTCATCTGAAAGTTGTGACTTGCGATCTTAAGCAAAAATGAGAAATCCACATTCTAGCACAGACACTGTCAGGGGTGACAGCTATAAAAGATATATCTTCTATACCGAGTCGTTTCAAACACAACAGGCAGATATAAAGCAACTATTAGAGAAAACTCAAGCCAAATGTACCAAAATATATAGTATTGTGCTAGGACACACGAGATAATTGTACATCAAGCATGACTTCTAATTTTGTCCTTACTATTTCAGCCAAGGATTCACTCTGGAACATTGCTCCATTAATTTACAAAAGCATCATCACAATCAATTATATATTGCCACCTATTTTTAGGACTTATTACTAAATGCGCAAGCACAAAATTGGTTTATATAAGAATTTGCAACAGACTTTTCACATCAATATTATCACCTTTGATAACCCACTAAAATTAATGGGCAGAAAGTTTGAAGTAGCTTCTTTGTCCTGATCAGGTACTAGAACAACAAAGGAATCCGCCTGAAGTGAAATAGGATGTTCAGCTTTGTTGATGACTTGAAGCTCTGGACCTACAGTGTCCAGCATAACCTGATAACAAATAAAAATTCCTGGCTCACATCACACTACCTGGAAGATAATTCTTAAATTACAAGCACCAAAAATGAAAAAACATGAAGTACAGGAAATTTCAAGCATACCGCACAGAGCTTTTTTGTGCTCTTGATGGCCGCTTTCAAATTCTCTATAGTCTCTTGGTGAAATTCAGTATCACCCCATGAAAAATCAAACTGTGCCACTGTTAATTAAAAAAGCATATCACAATAAGTCAGTAGAGTAAAATTTAATTCTTATATTACCTTAAATTTAGCCATTAAGCTCGTGTTAAATTAATACTAAGCTTTAGATGGAAAGAAAATGGAAATGATTACATTTGCACTCTTAATGCACAATAAATGAAGCTTTCAGTCCCAAACTGTTAAACTAATGCTCGCATCTTGGTCTTTTTAGTAAATTTTACAATTACGGATGCTTCTCTTTTCAATCTCATTAAAAAAAATGTGGGAAGAAAGATCGAAAATCTATAATTTGTACTCTCGTTGCTCAAAACTTTTATAGCTCGCTAAATAACCAAACAGAACTCAAATCAGTTTCATTTATAACTATTAATCCTAGTAGGAAATAAACAGAATTACCGGACATTCCGGCCTTAAGGCATCCTGAAATAATTTCAACGGACCGAGATTTTGGCCCCAGCGTCCCTACTGTCTTCGTCATTGCAGGAAAGAAATTCTGCAGATAAATTTCCTTTCCACTTAAGAATAAAAGAAACATATAAAATTTTACAAGCTAAAAAAACAGAAATCAAACAAAAAATTAAGGCGCGGAAAATTTGGGAAAACTGACAGGCTTGGATGACTCGAGGATTGAAGCCATCCGTATAGGCTCTTCGAGGAGCAAGTGACTTGACACCATTTTTTCCGATCAGTGAATAAGCGATCGCCGAAGTGTTAGTATGAGAGAGAGAGAGAGAGAGAGAGAGAGTTGTCGGTGATTGTTTTGGCGAGGAATGACGAGATATTCGTCGAATCTGTGATGTGTAGTACAGTGGGCGGTCAGTGGAGAAATGGCAATTACAGTGGGCGGTCAGTGGAGAAATGGCGGTCAGTGAAGAAATGGCTATTTCCTCATTTCGGTGGGCGGTCAGTGAAGAAATGGCTATTTTGTTTTTGGTCGAGTGTATAATTTTTAATTTTCTAATATATTCCTATACTTTTATTTTGTATTTCATCGACTGTATAATTAATTATTCTTTTAATTTTCTAATATATCCCTATTTAAATTACTATATAATGTATGAGTATATTAAAAAATAGAAAAATTAAGTTTTCAACTATAATAATTATTCCCTCCGTTCTATAAAAATGAGTTTGCTTTTTCCTTTTTCTTTTTTCTGTCTATCTCGAATTATATGTCACTTTTCTTGTTAAAAGTATAATTTTTTTTATTATTTTCTAATATACTTATATTTGATGTATCTTGTTATCAACAAATATGAAAGATTCATATTTAAATTATTATTTAATATAGGGATATATTTAAAAAAATATAAGAAAATTTTATATTTTCAATTATATTAGTCCTTGTTTGATCGACATTATTTCCAAAATACATTTTATGCTCTTATTTTCAATTACACATTCTTCGATAAAATTGTATTACAAGCAAATCCAAAAAAAATCCTTATTTTTTTAACAACACAATCTGCATCAAAATTAATCATACTAGCAAGATGCATGAACTAGGCCAAAGAAAACCAAATTGTTACATCATTGTGGGGAATGCTTTGCCTCTCCAACAACAAGCGATATTGATTAATTTCAATTACACATTTCAGATGGAGACAAATGAGTGCAACTCTTTTTGTGGCTGTGACAGTCAACAAGTGAAGGTTACCCAACACCAATTGCCCACATTGGTAAAACAAGCAAGCAATGTATGTGCCCCCTTATGGTCCTAATCAGGTATTGCTTCAGAATGTTTATTATGTCCCGGGCATGAAGAAAAATGTATTGAATAATGTTAAAAATCGCTGCTACATAAACCGGCGATCATCTCTACTCGAAATGAATAACATTAGATGGCACACGCCGCACACCATGTTTTGTTTTGCCCAAATGATGTTAAGGTGTGACGCGCAGACTCTAGCTTGTTTGTTAAAGCTCGAGAAGGAAAGTTCGCAATAGTACTAGTATACGTAGACGATTTGATCATCACTAGAAATGATGTAAAAAAACTTACCACTCGAGCACTTTCTTGAGCTACAGGTCGATCACTTGGAAGAATTTTTTCTTTTTGTCAATAAAATTAAGCAAGCTGAGGAATTATAGAATGTAAACAATTCGTCTTTCAATCACACCCATAAATCTTCACAGATTCTTCAAGATCAAGGTCGAGCACAAATTAGCCTGTCGTGTCCCAAGCAGATCGAGCTATCTAGTGTCAGAGTTTAAATTCAACGATGACGACAAATAGAAAATATTAAACAATATGAACCCATTTTTTCTTGTTTAGAACATAATATTAGATAACAACATAGCCTGAACCCGATTTATATGTGCAGATAATCAAAATACTCAATTCCAAGCAAATAACTTCAGAAGTATAAGATCACTAATTACTTAAAAAGTACAAGACATACTAGCATTGAAGCAAAGCACCAAGCAGCCTCATATCCCTGATATTGTCCGGCAAAATAATGCTCACTAACAGATGAAACTGAGAAAGTTAATCTGAATGGGAAGTCCAAAGGTCCCAACTTCCGACGTAATGAAAAAGATTTTTAACTTCTTTTCTTTTTTTAGTACCATCTTGTGCTATTGAATCCTCCCTACCAAACATGCTATAAAAGTTTTGGGTAGTAACTATATATTGACAACGGAATGACAACTTAGATATATATAAAATATGGAATCTGGACGCTGATTGTTACAACCAAATCCTGGGCCAAAGGGAAGGTCATCGTCTGACTGACCTAAAAGTACGCTTTGACGCTCAAACTGCAGGAAGCGTGAACACTTAGAGCCAAGTATCCAGCAAAGAGCGAAGGTCCCAGATTTCCATCAAAAATATAATAAACCACTACTTGTGAATATGTATAAAAGAACCATGAACGAGGCAGGTGATCAACTCCTTCCTCCAATATGACTCCTGAATGGAGCTGAATAGAAATCTCAATAATTAAGAAAGCCCATTTTTCCAAAGGGTAAACACCAGCCACCAGGATCAAAATGCTGCTACCCATCCAAGTACTCGTCGAAGGTTCTACCACTGGTACACTCCACATAGGATTTAGCATTGATTTCTCTACCAAATCTCCATACATAGTTTAGACCGACGAGAAGCTCAGTAATTGTTGCTTCTGTCTTCTCTTGATTTGCTAAATAAAGGGTTTGTACAAGAAGCACGTTTGGTCTAGACACTAAGTTCTGGTGCTCGACGCTCCGCTCAGACTGCCATCTTATCATGTTATGAGCAAGTGGAGCTAACCATTCCAAAATTCCCGACAATGTCCCGTTCCATTCTCCAGCAAGAACTGTATCATAAACTGATGAAGTTAAGCTCTTGGCGTGTGGCTTAAGTTTGTCTCGGAGGGCCATTCTAATGCTAGCTGGCAACATGTTGTACAGGTCATCTCTTGCATCGTTACCAATCAAGTGAGGAGTGGCCACTAACTTCTCGATTACAATGATGACATTTGCATAATGCAATGCTAAGGCAGCAGCGCCGAGGGTTTCTGGAGGTGCATTCAACAGCCTGTTCTTAGATTTAACGGTGGATGAATTGCCATGACTTGAGCGACCATGTGCATGTAGTTCCATGCTGGCATTTCTATTTCCATCCAGATCTCCTGAACAAACAACATTTGAATTCAAAATCCAATTGCTCAGAGGAGAACTGCTTCCACCTATCATGTGCCCTGTAAAAGGCCCTGACGTGGTTAGTCGATTATGTTCTGAAAGCGGGAATTTCTCTTTCGAATTTGAAGATTTGTCACTAGATCGCCACAATTTCCAAGTGCTTTTGCTTGTTCTTGGAAGTGGACCAGATTTGGTCATTGACCTCCCAAGGGGACCAGAGTAAAAGTTCTTAGCATCATGTCTTCCAGAGATTGGGCTTGTTGTAAGTGAACTTCTAAGAGGGCCAGAATGGAAATTGCTCCTTGAGACTGGACCAGATTTAGTAATCAACTTCCCTAATGGACCGGAAGAAAACCTAGGAATGCTATTTTCGGACAGGTTCACTGACGATTGGGTAAAAATGATCGAGTGGCTGTGACAGCTATAATCAGAATCCAGAACTCCAAAATCTTTCAATTCCATACCGATCATGTGATTAAATCCAAAAACATGCCCAATCCTACTATATATAGTAAATATAGATCTCGCCAAAAGACGAATTGTGTAATCATAGGTCTGATTCCAAAGAGAAGTCTCCTTCAAGTGCTTCACTTCCTGCTGTTTCCATGCAATCTTCTTTTCATATGGAACGACACTAGTGCTATCTGTGTCATCATTACTCTTCATTCGCTTCAGGGTTTGTTCAAGATCTGCAAGTATTTCCATTTCTTGATACAAATTTGCATTGGCAACAATGAACCGTTCCATGTTCTTAGCTTTCCGGTCCATCTTCTTCCACGTGAACCGCCACTCATAAGTGTCGGTACCAATCTTGATTAAATCTTTAAATGCTTGCTCAAAACTCTTTAACAAGGGATCACTGCATTTCTTGGATAGCCTAGACACAGCTCTTGCCACGTGTACCAAGTTCTCCATCATTTCTAAACCTATCCACCGCACCATGTAATCCTCATCCTCAGACACAAGCTTTTTAATACCCGTGGAATTCATTATTTCCTCCCTCAATTTTGCCACCTGCTTATCAGCCAGCGACTGCCATAGGTTAAGCAGCTTAGACATCAAGCTGACAACTTCAAAAGCCAATACGCCAATCTGTGCCTTTTCGGAATCAAACTCATGCTTCCTTGATGTTTTCCACAGACTACGAAACCAAGACTCAGCGACCATCTCTAATATCAAAAACAATTAACAAAATGATCCTCAAGAAAAGCTCAGTACTGATGAGCTTGATCCTGAATTAAAAGAATAAAATAGGCTGTTAAAGACGTGTAATACCGTTACTACCAAAAACGTTCAAGAAAATGAACGAATGATGACAGAGTTAGCTCAACAGCACGAGCGAAATGGGGGAGGGGACTCATTTCCCAATATACTCTACTAGATTGAGGGAGTAAATGAATGCTACGTGGGTCAGAATTCAAGATATAAAAATTTGAAACAAAACCAGAGACTTTCATACAATCTTGCACTATTTTTTACTTGGATAAGCAATTTTATACGAATAAAAATATCGATAAAATTGTGTCAGTATTTCTTCTATTTCCTTCCTAAGATTCCTTCTTTATTTTGCACATTATGCTTCACATATTATCAATTGATTTCCTCCCTTTGTCAGCAATAAGCCACATAGTATTCCCAAAAAAAGGGTAGAGAATGCTAAACACCGGTACACCAGGACAAGAATAACTGCAGAAAACCCCCCAAAAATTGATCCAACATAAAACCCCGATGCAAATTTTAAAAAAAACAAAAACAAAAACAAAAATCCCAAGTAGTATATAAATTTAGAAAAAAAAAATCACAAAAATGACAATTTTGCAGCTAAAAAAGTAGCATTAACATCACGAGGAGTACTTCAAAATTACAAAAACAGACTATGTTCTTTTGCTTGTTCTCCCTCTTGAACAATTAAAAACAGTACAAAACTACATAATTTTCCGCCACATAAAAGCAACAAAAAAGAATTAAAACAATTTTAAAATCAAAGCCACTGAATAAAAAGGAAAAACTTGAAACTCACTAATATTCTGACGAAGAAAAAACTAGACCACTTTTGAAGCTTCTTAGAATCAACACGAATTAGGTCAATCTTAGGTATTTTAGAGAGAGAGGAGAAGAAAAGATGAGAGAGAACCGAAAGAGAGTGAAGGAGTGGAGAACAGAAGGAAAGGCCACATGCAGGAAAGTCGAAATTGTAGAATGTGAGAAACCGAGTGAAATTTATTGAAACATTTATTATTTTGCACAACAAACCCCCTTCTTGTTCTTTCTTCTTCTATTTTTTTTTTAAATTATTATTGTTATTATTTTTTGAAATTGCCTTGCTCACATTTATTTATTTATTTATTGTTCCAGTAGTGCATTTTGCTTCGATAAACTAGGTTTAAGCTTCTCTCTCTCTTTTTTTTTTTTTTTTATGGTGTTCATCTTATTTACCTTATCAAATATACCAATTATGGAACTTTTGACATTAATTTCTTGTTTTAAAATATTATCTTTCTACTATTATTTTTCATCTTCGAGGATAATAAGCTACGCACAATAACTACGAGGAAAATATGAAAGTTGAAAATCATCTAAATACTACAAAGCATAAGTAGATGTTTGGAATTTGTCAATTGAAAGTTTTACACGTTATAACATTGACCCTTTCAAGGTTGCAATTGAGAGTCCAAACTTTGTCGGTCACGACGAATTCAATAAATACATCAATTTATTTCTCCATTTTTTTATGAAAGGGGGACATGAATCATCATTTCATTCCTTATGGGGATCTTTCTTTTCGTTTCGGATTTCAACGTTCCCTATGAGAGGTCATCCGCCACATGTCGAATATGCTTATAGCTCTCGTGCTTTCAAAAAGCCCTCTGCTACGTTTCAACCTCCCTTTGGTCAATCGAGAGCTTGTCTCTAGGCCTTACGATTTTTTGAGTATATTTGTAGATAATGTTAAAACTTTCTTGTTTCAACAGATTATCAAAGACTTTATTAATGTTAAAAAGGTTGCATCTCGTCATGTCGTCTATTAAAGATGGTGTTCAAAGAAAATATTAATAGAGTATAAAGAAAATAAAATCGTCAATGGTACTATCTCGAGAATGATTCTGAAATCCGTCCAAGAGTTATTTTAAGTAAGATGGTTATGACTCAATTATAGATCGATTCATAGTTTCGTTAAGGGAAAATCTTAGAACGATGAATGATGACGAGAATTTACGAAGTTAAACATAACATGTAGTTTTCGATTATTAGAGATTTGGTAAGTAGTTCGATCCGTGCAACTTCTTGACTAAAGTCGTCGATTGAGGACTCAAAATGTTTGTAAAGTATATTAAAATTGGGATACGACGAAAAATATTTAAAGGACCCATAATTTTTCCGAAATAATACCCGGGGGACACGAACTCTATTGGTGTGACGTGATTTGACATTGATTCTTAACAAATTTGACCATTTTGGGAATTTTAACTTGATATTAAGAATAAAATTAAAGTGATTAAAAAAATCAAGCATTATTCGGCACGCTAAAAAGAATGTGACAATCATTATTGGTGACCACGCGGAGGAATTCTATTTTACAAATTTGACCCCAACCTCAATTTGCCGGTTCAAATGGGGCAAGAGCGGCCCACAGACGGTCCACCCGGGTTCATTATCTGTTGACTGACTGTTTGAGCTGGAGGCTAATATTGTTAGTTTACTCGTACAATTTTATTTGACAATTCACACTTGACAACATCACATTTATTTATTTAAAAAATTATTTTTAAAATTAATCGTTCGAATTTTGACGACATTAAAAGTTGTAAAAAAGATTGTACAAATAAATTAATTATTCTTTATATTCCTAATAATTAATATAGTAATCAATGATTGGTTACAGCTGTCAATTTTTTCATAAAAAAGTCGATGCATCCATGAATTTGTCATTCTTAAATTACTCAAAATGTAAGTTGTACCCACCTTTCAAGAATTATAAAGATTCATAAATTCAGAGTGTTCTTTTGTTTAATATCTATGATTTTTTTGTTCAAATTAATAAATAAGAAATTATGGTTCAAATGAAAATCGAGAAAGTTTTAGACTTAAATTGATTAGTATAAATTAAATACTTTCACAACGTAAATTAAGGTCTCACATAAAAGTGTCATCCATGATGAATAAAGCGACTTAATGTAAAGAAACATTTATTTTTTGACGGTGAGAAGTCAATTTAAACATAACTAAATTGTGTGTGTGTGTGTGTGAGAGAGAGAGAGAGAGAGAGAGAGAGATTACATTAAGGGTGTGTTTGTCTCCCATTATTGGAAGAAAAATAGAGTAATGAATAATATTTTTTGGAGAATGCGTGGTTGAAAAGTAAACTAGTTTTATTGGTTTGTGTGTAGAATATTTTATTTGGTGAATGTGTGGTGGAAAATCTTCAAGTTTTCTGAAATAATTCCTCTCGTAGTTGATGTTCGGGATTTTACTAGTGATTTTCGAAGATTTGTGGCGAAATTCATAAATTGAGTCCCTAATATTATAATTTATTTGTATCACTATCAATTGCAAAAACACTTTCGTCAATAAACTAAATTTATTTAATACATTTTTAGTACTTTAATTAGAACAACAATATTTTTATGGAAACGAAACAATCGTTAAAAAAAATTATGAAGAGGGTCGTTATATCTTTCAGTACGTGACTTGTAAAGGTTAGAATGCAAAATAGTAGTGTCGCCATTGAAAGTTATAAAATCGTGTTATTATTGTCAATTACTCAAGGCATAACACTATATGCACTTGAGGTCTTTCTTAATTTCGCAAGGCTCTTTTGAGAACCCTTGTAATCAAGTGTTGCAACTTTAGGAGCTCCAAAGTTGGTGCATACACAATAAATAAGGGCACGGTACGTCAAATTAGCTTAACTTTTGTGTGAAATATAAGATGAAAATTGCCATCTTTTTGTCAAAATAACCTTTTTATTACTTAAGGATTGACAAAAATATCAATTTTATTCTTATTAAAAGTAACCATCCAATCAGGGGCGGAGCCAGACTTTGAACGTAGGGGGGGCCTAGAGGTAGAGGTGAAGGGGTGGGGGCTGCCCCCGAATTTTTTTTTTTATACGTTATTAACAAAAAAAATCAAAAAACGTATAAAAGAAAGTACTAATCTTTAATTTAGCAAAATCATACTTTGATAACGTTGTAGAACTACATGATCATCAATCATGTCGACGAAACTCGGGCAAAAAGTTACTGCATTGGTCGCTCAAGCGAGCCTCTAGCGAAAGTCGAGCGAGGATTGAGCAGTTATCATTATTTTTATCATAACTTTCTCTACCGATATCCGATTGTGATGATTCAAATTTTGTTGGAAAGCTAACTCAGAGGGCTACAATTCTTCTAGAAATAGACATATCCAAATTCCAATGTTTTCTATGTGAAACATGCGTTGAAAGTGGTAATTACAAAAAAAAAAAAATTTTAATTTAATTTTTTTTTTTTCAAAAATGGTGTGGGGGCCTGGCCCCCACCAGGCCCCCATGTGGCTCCGCCCCTGCATCCAATCCCATCATCGCTCAAGGCTAGCCCTGCTCAACCACGTTGAGTATCCAAACCCATGGATGCATGAATAATTGTTTTGGACACACTTTAAAAAAATGAAAGCATCGGAAATTCTTCATTTTTAAACAAAAGAGAGAACATCTTTCAAATTTTCACGAGGTAATTATGGACTAGTGACACGTAGATTTCATAGGAAGTTGATCTCAAATATTTCATTATAGTTACACAATTACTTCTACAATGATAGAAATAACTTGAATCTCTCTTAAGCAATGACACGACTCTCAATTTTTGTCCATCTAACTTTACGAAGTTTTATTTTCCAACTCGGGCAAGTCCTATTTTCTGACTTTGATTTATTCGGTAATACGATGTGGTGCATGTTTCAATAAGCCACCTGATAATTGAAGAAAGATTTAGCCTCTGTTTGGGCTACGTTAAAATTCTCATTCTTCTACTTATTTTCAACCATACATTTTTCAATAAAACAATATTTTTCATCATATCAATAATTTTTCTTTCGTTTTCAACCACACATTCTCCATCAATCTACTATTCCAAAATAACGTGGCTCAAACACACCCTTAGATGACATTCGCACTTGCTGCTATAATAATACAAGATTACTTTAGTGCAAATATTGAAAAATGTGCTTTTAACTCAAAAAATAATAAATTCATGCAATGGTGTAAAAAAGATCGTTAATTGCTACGAAACCAAACTGGGTTTCATATGAAGTTTTAACTAAATTGCGATTTTAAAAGGAACTACGCAAATTTTCTGATTTTGACAAACTTGCTTCTTTATAAAGGTTGAGAACTAATTTGAGACAAAAGGTTGGGGACCAATAATACAAATTTTCCCCTCATATCTGCATGTGTACACTAATCACTTGTTCATTAGACATGCCACTTGAATCGCCCTTACGAAGAAATCCATTGGTTCCACATCTCACTAATGGATGTCTATCTTGTTCATGTCCAAGTTGTTTCAAAGAATACTCCTTTTCTTAGGATTATGCAGTCCAACACACTCTCTCAGGTGTAGACGCGCACAAAAACTAACACGTATGCAACAAGAGCATATAGGCAAAGCACACGCACGACACCAAGACAAAGACATCTAGAGAGAGAGAGAGAGAGAGAGCAAACAATTAATCTATCAGGAGCAAGGTAGAAGGCAAGAGGTACAGGGAAATAAGTAAAACAAGGAAAATATTATGGGGTAGGGATTTGTAGGACGGTAGAAGACCCTCGATCTTAAGGGTAAATCTGATATAATTGGGTCAGACAGCTCCAAACAGTAACTAACAGGTAGATGCTCCCTATATGCAACATTTTAGCTTCATAAACAAGACTATCTTATACGACCAATATCCGTTAAAGGGTGTTCTGTACGCAGTAATGCAAAAGACAATGAACAAGTTTTTAACATATTTTTCTTCCTGGAGTCATATTTTGTTCAGCATTCCGAACATGTCATAAGAGGGACACTATCTTAGAAAGCAAATACCTTACCATTAATCAGTAAAGGTTAGCTTGTAATTCACAGCAGAATCTTATTGAATTGCATTCCATCCTGCCACAAATATATCGGTCCACTTCAAGTACATTTGAACCGGAAACATATGCTAAAGAATTTACTGAGATATTTTGTTGATCGGAATGGACAGAATCGGAGCCTACAAAATTTTAAAAAGCCTATTGATTAAGCTAATAAGGTCATTTGAGCAAACTGTGAAAACAGAGAGAAACGGTTTTTCCTGGATCCAAAGAACTACTTCATCTCATCTCTTACCGAAGCTGCTACACATTTATTTTCTGACAACTTGGATCAGTGATGGACTCCAAAATGTCATAGTGGCCATATCCATGAAACAAAACATTGATAGGAATTTCCTCCTCCTTACTAAACTCTTTGCCATAATTCGCTATCTTCACTAAACTACCCGAGCTCCTCTCAATCATGAAGACAGATATTGGTGTCCTGTGATCAAAAGAACCAAATTATAATGATAAAATGATTCATATATTTGAATTGTAAAGTTCAAGTTATAGTTGTTACAACAGTAGCATCTTTATACATCGATATGAAAAGATAATACTTTCAAATAAATGCTCGTCTTTGTTATATCTGTACCTATTGAAAAATATCTAGTCACCGCATATAGACAAACAGATTATTCTACTTGAACATTAAGGATTACATTAACATTAAAGAAACTAAGTACAACTGCGTAAGTAGTATTCATGGATTGGTATGTAAATTGATATTCTTGATTTTCTTGTCTTATTACTGAAATATTCTGTATATGAACTATTAAGACATGAATCCCTGAAAATAAGTTCAAATAAGATGAAAGAAACTATTTGGCTTCTAAGAAAACATTTTATTAGTGCACACTAACTTTGTGACGACCAAACATGTATTTGTTACCGCATCCCATCCACTGTTGAGTGTTGATCCACCTTTTCAATGCTAATATAAAAACATATTGGACAGCAGAGTGAAAACACTCAATTTTAATTGTACGTAGATGAAATACCTTACCGTAATATAATTTTTTACTTCAAATACTTACACGTGTGTGTACCTTTCTCAAAGCTATATATATATATATATATAGGAATGTTAAAATTAGGAACCACTTAATAATTTTCTTTTCAGAATGTCCTTAATACTTGAATCAATAACATATAAATAAAATGCAGATTATAACAATCATTGGTGTGTATGATGTATGGACATTTTGCACAGTTGTAAAATTCTTGTGAATAGGGTTGTTGAACTAAATATGAACAAAAAAATAAGAATCATGTCCAAAACCACAGTAAATAATCACTCAAAACGAATTCTGAGTATCTTTTGAAATGTTAAGGTCAAGTCTGATAATTTGATCTTAATTTTGAGCAAATGGAACTGACCTAAGAACAAGAGAAGCCATCAGCAACTCTGGTTCTCCACCCCATACATAAGGTTGCTGAATTCTTTTGACATAAGCATCAAAATCTTCATCAATAAACCTGTCCAAATATTACATAAATATAAGAACATAAGAAAACTAACATTCAAGAAAGCGATTAAAAGATAACTTGATAAGCATGTTTGGTACGCACTAATGGACTGAATATGATGGTATAATATACAAGATTTTATCTTCTTCTTTTTTTCCTTTAATATTATCCTACAATCCAACTACCAAACAAGCCATTAAAGGAAAAAACAGAGGAGTACCATTCGACTTCTTTTCGTCTCTTCAAAAGCTCTTCTACAACCTGAAAATTTCCATTCCATTATAAAAATCAATTACTCCAGAGTACAGAATTTTAATAAACTCCAAATGTAAAGCACGAGTATATATGTTTCCAGGCAAACACACGAATATACGCAAGTGAAAGAACAGTATATTATTTACTTGAGCTCTTAATTGATCAGCAAGCTCTGTCTGACGATTCTGATCAGGAGCCTTTTCACCATTTCTCAAACATGCCATGTGTGCAATTGCTCTAAACAAACACCTCCCATCAGCAGGAACCCCTTTACACACGAAATTAAAGAATTTCAACTTTCGTAAATCATTTAAATTACTATTCAAGCACAATTAATAATGAAGAATCAATTAAACCTGTGACCCTGTAATTAGGTAAACGACAATCAGCTGCATCCGAGGCTACAACTTTAGTGCTAAATCCATCGGCTTTATCATCAGCGGATGGAGAAACCTCGGAATTTAAATCGGAGTAATCGGGCAGCGGCAAGGTTAAACAGGCGAACACGCTATAAAGGAGCCAAGCCGAATCAGGATGATGGAGCCAGCGAGCCGGCCTGGCATCCCATGCCACGTTCCATGATCCCTCACCAGCCGCCCTCTTCGTCACTGCAGTTCGCCGCCCCACCGGCAGGATCACCTTCCATATTGAACCATCTCCGCCGCTACACCTCGCGGTGCAATTGACGGATTCTCCTCCGCCGGCAACAACTGGACTCCTTCGGTCAAAATACGACGCCCGAGAACAGTAGGCGTAGGACAATGACAGCGACGGGAGCAGCCAAGGCTTCGGACGTGAGCCGCAGAATATACCGAGCATCACCGGAATTATTCTTGTCCTACCGTACGCAGTGAGCGAAAAATTAAAACAACGCATCCATTGGGCACTGAAACCAAAAACGAAAGCAATAAAACATTGCTTTTTGATTAGTTTGGTGAGTTGGTGGTGACAGCGAAAGTCGGTACAATCAGTGGGGCCCACCCAGCGGCAGCTCCGTAGTCCGGTGTAAGTCGATACTTTCAATTAGGCTAAGTCGCAAAATGATATTTTTGGTAGGTTTTAATAAAAATAATAAAATGTGTAATTGAAAAGTTAATAAAAATTATGAATTTTATTAATATGATTAATAGCGTAAAATCTCTTAGAAACGTTCTCTCGTACGAGATACTCCATACTTATTAAAAATTCCAGAAACCTCCATATTTAAAATTTTTTGTATGAAATATAACATTTTTTGTGTGAAAAACCTCTTATCGTCCAATTCCATTAGTTTAACTGTTAAAAATAGTAAATATTGCCAAAGTAAAAAATGAATAATTGCAGTTGTAGTTCCAAACTTTTTTTTTTGCAAATTACAACAATTTTTTTTATTCGTATCACCCACAATCCCAAACTTTTAAAACATTATTTTCTTTACATTCCATATTACTCTTTGGCCATTCCTCATTGTCCAATATTTTCATCTTCTCTTCGTCATTAATAACTACATTGATCGTATCAGGATTAATACCCTAAATAGTCACTAAACTTTGTTAAAAGTTCCCAGGGGGTCACTGAATTTCAAAACTTTCCTAATTGGTTACTGAACTTCGTAAAAAATTCCTAGGAGGTCACTGAACTTCAAAACTATCCTAAATAGTCACTAAACTTTTCTAAAATACCCTAATTAGTCACTCAACTTTTGCAAAAAATGCCTAGGGGATCATTAAATCATTGATGTATGGGTCATAATTTGCAAAGTTCGGTGATATATTAGGAAGTTTTAGTAAAGTTCAGTGACTATTTAGGGTAGTTTTGAAGTTTAGTGACCTCCTAGGAACTTTTTACAAAGTTCAGTGACTAATTAGGGAAGTTTTGAAATTCGGTGACCTCACTGAGAACTTTTGGCAAAGTTCGGTGATTATTTAGGATATTAAATCATCGTATCACTATTGTTAGTTGCTTTGTTGTCCAAAAATTCAATATATTCTAATTTCTTGGCCTCTTCTCCTCCCAATTTTTCTTCTATATCATTTTTTCTTCTCTTCACATAAGACCCCATTCCTTCTTTTCCAGTTTTATCACCAGTCTTGACAACACATTTGTTGCAATCACCACTAATCTGGGACCTTGTCACTCTCCTTTGTCCCGAAGAAACCATCTATATTTTCGCTTGTGCCTTCATCATCATCGCAAAACTCCCTTTTCATCCCAACCTGAATTGATGACACCACAATTTCATCTAAATTTATATCCTTTGCCATTGCAGCAAAAAAAAAAATCCCAAAAAAAGAACAAATCCCAAAAAAAAATAAATTCAATCACAGATCTAATTCATATCATTTTAATAGGCAAACTCATTGCCATAGAAAACAACTTAATAGATTTACCATTTACCGACCAATCACTATCATACCAAATTTAGTTGCAATTAGTAATGTTGGAAATAGCAATTGTAACTACAATTTCAAACTCCGAACCCCGTTAGTCGTTAATCACAATCCAGTACAAAATACATATTAAATTCAAATGGGCGTCCAAGATTGCTCTAGAAAATCAATTCCAACCGAAAAAGAGTATGGCTCTCTAAATTCTTGAATCAATTTGAGACGTACAAGAACCCAATACAATGCATTGATTAGTATAATTAACTATAAACTGTGATTACCAAATAACAAAGATGAGTGGATGATCTACTTTAAGGAATATGTGAAGGGCTGTGAAGAAATAGAGCTTGCAGAAATTGTAGGTGAAATTGAAAGAAGAGCCATGCTATGTGTACATAGATGTACACATAGGGGTTCACAACTTCACATACTGTGAGTGGGGTAGGGCCCATGCTATAGTATCGTGGGCCCCACCCCACTCACATTATGTGAACCTATATGTGTACATTAATTACATCGACTTATATACTATTTTTGCCATAATTACTACATCACTATCTTAGGCGATGTAAGGAATTGATCCTTGAAGAAGTAGAATTAGACAACCTTAGCAAATCAGAAAATCCGTTGCAACTGGAGCTTTCTGTTTTACCATTTTCTGTTGTGTTGGTTAGAATCTTTCAACCAACTTGAGCCTTAGTTGTTAGGTGGTAGTTAATAACTGAAATGATTCTTATTGTGTCTTTAAATAGCCTGGTTAGACGATAGAAAAACAGCTCTCGAGAGTGAAAAAGGAGAAGAGAAAGTGAGATAGATTAGATGGTTGAACTCTTGTAAATCTGGCATTAAAACTTTCTGATGATTTCTGGTTTTGTAATCATGTTAGTCTTGAATTAATAAAGGCTGAGGAAGAGTATTTCTTCCTGTTCAAAAATCATTCTCGGTGTTTAATTCTTGCCGTGTTGATTTCTACTTCTGCTGGTTATAATTCTGTTGGTTTTCATCTGTTCTTCCTGCTGTTTTTCATAGTTGGTTGCTTCCCATGCTGGTGCATCTCTGATTACTGGAGTTCTTGATCAATTCCAAAGTTAAGGTTGTCTTCAAAAACCCAACAATTGGTATCAGAGCTTGAACATTCCTTGGCCTGATTTCTGTCCCTTTTAATTTGGCCGAACACATCTCTTGTGGAAGAAAGATTCCTGGCCAGAATCTTGATCACAATATGTCAACATCCAAGTATGAAGTGGAGAAATTCAATGGCAAGAATCACTTCAACTTATGGAGGGAGAAGATGATGGCACATCTTGGTAACCTTGGATTGGAAGAAGCCTTGAAAGAAAAATCTGGAACTGAGGCTTCAAACCAGATTGACATCTTGAAGAAGGCAAGGAATACCATCATTCTTGGCCTCTCTAATACAATGCTAAGGAAGATAATCAAGGAGAAGACGGCCTTTGAAATGTGGAACAAATTACAAGAGTTCTACTTGACCAAAGCTTTGCCAAATCGGATCTACTTGAAGCACAAGTTCTACAGCTTCAAGATGGATGAATCAAAGTCAATTGATGAGAACATTTATGAGTTTACAAAGATGGTCTCTGATCTGGAAATCAAGATAGATGAGGAAGATCAAGTCATTTTCTTGTTGAACTCTTTGCCACCAGCCTTTGATCATTTAAGGGATACCATCAAATATAGCAAGGAATCCTTGACTCTCAAAGAAGTTGCTGCAGCAGCCTACTCGAAGGAACTAGATCCGAAGCTAAATGGTAATCTGGCAAAGAGGATTGGAGAAGTAATGTATGTGCAACGAAGAAAGGAAAAGGAAAATGTGTTGGATTTGTCATCAAGAATGGCACTTCAAGAAGAATTGTCCACAAAGAAACAAGAGGTGGATGAAACAAGAAAACAAGAAGCGAGAAGGAGAGTGTGCAAATGCCTTTACAGACTTTGAAGTTGGCGAAGTTCTTGCTGTAACAAGTGCAAGACACAACAATATCTGGATTATGGATACAGGTTGCTCATTTCATATGACACCAAGGAAGGAATTTCTCATTGAGTACAAACCGATGGCCGAAAGTAAAGTGCTGATGGCTGATAATAACACCTGTGAAGTGGTTGGTGTGGGCTCTGTCAAGCTGAAATTGTGGGATGGTTCGTCAAAGGTCCTAGGAGGAGTAAGGCATGTGCCATGCCTGGAAGGAATCTGATCTCACTGGGAGCACTGGACAAAATTTGGTTATGTGTACAAAGCTCAAGGTGGAGTGTTAAAGGTGTTTGAAAATTCAGTGGTGATCATGCAAGGAATCCTGCAACAAGGCGTCTACATTTTGAATGGAAATGAAGCTGAAGTTCAGTTGCAGTATGTCTGAAAACTCTCCTCAAGAATCAAGGTGGAGATTGTAAGGAATTGATTCTTGAAGAAGTAAAATTAGACAACCTTAGCAAATCAAAAAATCTGTTGCAACTGGAGCTTTCCGTTTTACCCTTTTTTGTTGTGTTGGTTGGAATCTTTCAACCAACTGGAGCCTTAGTTGTTATGTGGTAGTTAATAATTGAAATGATTCTTGTTTTGTGTCTATAAATAGCTTGGTTAGATCATAGAAAAACAGCTCTCGAGAGTGAAAATGGAGAAGAGAAAGTGAGATAGATTAGAGGGTTGAACTCTTGTAAATCTGGCATTAAAACTTTCTGATGATTTCTGGTTTTGTAATCATGTTAGTCTTGGATTAATAAAGGTTGAGGAAGAGTATTTCTTCTTGTTCAAAAATCATTATCGGTGTTTAATTCTTGCCGTGTTGATTTCTACTTCTGCTGGTTTTCATATGTTCTTCCTGCTGTTTTTCATAGCTGGTTGCTTCCTTTGCTGGTGCATCTCTGATTACTGGAGTTCTTGATCAATTCCAAAGTTAAGGTTGTCTTCAAAAACCCAACATGCGAAAATTAGAAAATAGAAATATTGTTAAAATGGATTCAGTAGAAATCTGTCATGTGTGTCCACGTTCAAAAAGATAATTCAAAAAGAATGATTCCCTATGGAATTATTCACAGAAACCATACATGTGATGTGTTGGCTGCATCTATATGGTGTATTTTCTGTCATTACTGGGTCTAAAATCAATGAAAATTTGTTAAATGTTATTCTATAAAAATTCTGTCAATTTTTGTTGTTGTACCTATAGCATAATCGATTAAAAAATGCCCCTCCACATGATCTAGAAAAGAGAAACACGCGTATATACATGTATGTGTGGACTAGTGTGGGCCATCATTGTCTTCTATTTATACTCGAGCGCTCAATAGTAAATCAAGATAATCTAGCTCAATAATATATATGGACACTTGTTATTCGAGAGGGTTTTCAAAAGAATTTCTTTGTCCAAGTATTGCACTTGCATGCAGTAGTGTCAACTCGTGATGAATAAGAACTAAGAGGCGTTTGATTATCAATATTTGTCACCTAATTTTCTATTTTTGTGCTGTTTGATTGACAATTTTTTCCACAAAAAATATTTTCTTGTTTTTGGTCACGTGACTATATTTTCCTTGAAAATAAGGAAAATATTTTTTTTAGGGATATCTGATTTTTATTTTCCATGTAATTAACTCTCTCTCTTCTATCTCTCTCTAATTTATTCATCAATAAAAAATGGACAAGTATAATATTTTTTATGTTAAAAATTAAATCAATACACATTTAAATAATAATTTCTATACAAATATTTTTTGGCAATTGAATTACTTAAAATTTATTTTTTTTCCATACAAATTCTATACTCGCAATCAAATACACGCTTACAGAAAATGAATTTTTGTTGTGTTTGAAAAAATAATTCCTTTCTTGAAGATGGAGTATATACAACTAAACCTCATATTAAAGACCGAAATTCTCATATATCATTCGAGGTAATGGAAAATACTTATTGTATATAACTGTTTATATAATGTTTTATACAATAATGATGTGTCAAAATGTAAAGGGGGAAGTTATTTGACTGATGAGATTTTGATCCAATTAAATCTCACCACGTCATTTGTTGGTAAACAATTATGTTACTTGTTATGTACGTGTAGCACAACCGCGAGAGAATTGATGAAAAAGAGAATGTCGACTTTGATTCAACTCCAATAATTACAAGGATTTGCTTGGTTGTCCTTCTCCTCCTTCTCGGTAGCAGTCTAGCAGATATAAGCGCGTGTTTTGCAGATTTTCTTCGGCGTTGGGAGATCGGGTTTACACCCTACACAGTACATACATATAATAACCTATATAGGCTAAAGGAAAGAATCCCTACGAACTTGAAATTTAGAATTCAAAAATCAGTCACCAAATTGATATTTGTCCCATTTCATGGCATCATATCCAAAATGAAATTTTGACTGACTTGAAGGTTCACTTTCAACTTCGATAGAGACATTAGATATCTTAGTAAAGTTGCATTTAATATGGATTTAGTTTTTTTTAGAGAATAATGATATCTAAAACCAGTTTAGATGATCAAATTTAATATGTTCAATTAAATTAATCCCATGATTTACATTTAAGTTAATTTATCATTTAATGTCACGTAGTTGTCATCTAGACGGGTGCATGATATAGTAGTTTCGAATATCATTACTCTTTTTAAAATTTCAGATTCGAGTGACAATTTATCTTCACGCTTTGACATAACGGTCACATGAGACTAATACTGTGGAAGTGTTTTGAGCAGAGGATCATCACCTGTAGGAGAGACAAATTAGAAAGATCCCCTTTCATTGAGCAATTGCCCTTATTTGAGTCGTAGTCGACTTGCAGCAGATTTGGTTTTCGTTTCAGTGTACTCACACGCATTAAAATATGCAACATCCAATTTTCCATAAATATGTATTTCTTTTTTATATTACATCTTTAAATAGCTGATGTCATTTTTACTATTATTATTCATCGAGTAATTATTTAATTTTTCACCGTCACGTTTTGCAAATATGTCGTTTTTGGCTATTGTTGTTAGCTAAGCAACTAATATTTTTTATCGATTACGTTGTGCCACGTCTTTAATTAGCCCCTGTTTGGGCCACATTATTTTTTTCATTCTCATTTTTCTACTTATTTTCAACCACATATTCTTCAATAAAATAATATTTTTCATCACATCAATAAATTTTCCTTCTTTTTTAACTACATATTTTCATTTGGCTGAGATTCTCAAAATTCTACAGTAAATCAATTTTCATTTTCAACTACACATTTTTCAATAAAATAATATTTTTCATCACATCAATAATTTTTTTTTCTTTTTCAACCACACATTCTCCATCATATCACTTCAAAAAAATGCATTCTCTCATTTTAATGTGTACCAAACGGGCTCTTAGTTATTTTTAGCTAATGTCATTTCTCGATATGAAAAATTCATTTTTCACATTTCTCCCTCTTTGAAAAATATGTCAAATGTCATTTTTGTAAGTAAAAGATTGAAAATGATGGATAACAAAATTTTACTACTTTTAAGCCACAAGGACAACTTTCAACAATGTAATATTGTTAATAAAAGGTCACCACACGTCATAAAATCAACCCCCTATTATTATTTATAATTTTTTCCTTTTTTTTTTGTCATTAATCAATATTATCTCGCGCAAACACCACTAGCTATTTGATTTTTATCCATTTTATTAAGTAATATGACTTTGTCATCGTTGTCAACTTTAACTATAAATCGATAAAAACATCTATAACATTTATTTATCTCGTGAGTATAACTTTTGTCAATTGAGGTATTTAGTAGATAGAGTACTATTTTAAACCAAAACTCATGCATAACTTCATTTCAATCACATGACTATTTTTCGAACATCTACAATTTTTCTCGACACCTGTAATATCAAAAACTTCAATGATAAAATCATAAAATCTCGCATAATTTTAGCAATACTTCGAAAGATCCAGTAACTTTCAATAAAAACTTCAGAAGATAATTATAAATAATTTTTTATTCGGCGTATCATAAGAGATAAAATTTATATGCATTGATTATAATTATTCTATAATACAATAAATGTAATATTCTTCCATCTATAGGTGGAATTATCTATCTATAACTTTCCAAAAAATAAAAAAGAAAGAAAGAGGAATTGAAATCAAAGAGAAGATTAGTAGCAAACGTTTAAGACTACAGAGTAGATACATGACTTAGCTATTGTCTCCACGAAGAGGTTAATGAATATTTTTTAGGAGGCGCTATTTATATTATATTTTTAATCTTATATAAATTTACCTAAATAGACATATATAGAATTAAATAAAAATATATCGTTCTAAATTCATTCACTAATTTTATTTTCATTTAATTCTTTTTACATTATTTTATAATTTGTATTTAACTAAAACTCTATTAATCATTAAATATCATCTTTAACCAAAATCACAAAACTCTAATAATAATAAAATATAATCTTTAACTAAAATCATAAAATCCCAATAATCATAAAGTATCATCTTCAACTGAAATCAAAACAACAATGGAAGAATTACCATTAGAAAAAATATATGAAGACATAGCAATATACGAAGAAGAATTTGAAAAAGTAAAGATTACTTTTTATTTGAATTTGATAAATTTAGTATTACCATTGAAGGAAATACATGAAGACAAATTTTATTTTTGTTTTTAAAAGGACAAAATTATATAAGAAGATGGGAGTCTTGCCTTCCATATCAATGGCTTTTAGCTCTACACAGAAGTATTGACTTTTCAGTTATTTTACATTAAATTTTGGATGAATACAGTGATCATTTAAAATTGTAATAGGGATGTATTTAGAGCGCAATGAATATATAAAATTTGTGTGGATACACGGTGTTTAAATGAATAAATTTAATATGTAGAAATAGTAATTTTTTAAAATTTTAACAAGATATATAGGGTGAGATGAATATAACAATTTGTTTATCTAAATAGGGTTTTGCTACAAGTACGTCAGGTTGTACATAAGGGTGTTCATAATGGACACCTGACATCTCCTTATTGGATGGAGTACCAGTGGGGCCAGCACTCTATCGGGGTGTCGAGTGTCCATTATGGACACCTTTATGTACACCGCAATGTACAAGAAGAATAATCCATCTTGATATGGCACCCGCTATTTTTCATTTTTACCATTCTGTAAATGGGATTTTAAAATTTTCTTTTATAAATATTGAAGTCTTCGAAGAAAGATTGCTTCTGATGGATTCTTATTGCCAAAAAATTGAAACATACCTAACAATGCAGATTTCTGTGCATGCTTTATTGCCTCCACCCTTCCCACCCCACCGTGATTTTAACGAAGCTGAGTTGGCTCAGCGGTATAGACTCGTCCCGATTATGCCAGGTAGAGTGCTTGGTGAGTTTGAAGCTGTAAATTTCTCTCCAAGATTTTAAATTATGCATTTATAACTCAATTAACATGCTTTTAATTTGGCTAAAAACCACAATTAAGCACGCGATTGCATTTTCATATAGAATCGCATAAGAGAATCTCTGTACAGATTTTTTTGTGGGTTTTGTTTATTCTGTTTACAATTTCAATCTCACACGTTCAAATTTGGAATTGAGTCCTCAATTTTTATCCTTTTAGTATTCTTTTAGGTGCTTTTGCTAATATATACACACACACATACACATACACAGAGAGGGAATCATAATTGGTTTTTGGAATTGGATTTTCTGGAATTAATTGCATGGATGTTGTCCTATTATGTAAACATCAGAAAATACATTTTTTTCACATGTGTATTTGACAATTTTAGTATCAGGCAGGTTAGTTTAGTGATAATTGTTTTTGGGAGTTTTACATGATCAGTTGATATAAAAGAAATTTGGTATAGAAAAGTTTATTTACTGACAATTATAAGTGAAGTTTGTTGCACAAGAACACAGCCGAAGTGCATATAAAATAAAAATTTGAATATTTGTGAGGTTACTTGAATTCGAAACACACTCGGGGAGGCAATTTTTGTTCCTCGAGAGAAGGGAGTGATGCAGAAAAGGAATCAACGGATTCATGTGATACCGGAGAAGCCACTTCTGCAGAGGTCTAGTGGCACTGGCACTCCAGCTGAATTGTTAGGGAATCAGGTGGAAACGACAAATTGGCAGGAATTACTTGGAATTTACTCTGGGTTGTTACAAGATGAGACGACCTGTAATGGGCATCAGAATGTCAGTCCAATTCGATTCGTGGATCTAAATAACGAGGAGCATGACCACCAAGATGTTGATGCAGTTGAGAGGTTCATTGGCTTTAATCATAGCGCTGGAAACTTTGGCTCCAGTGTGCAGAATTTGCACAATGATAGCCTTGTTTGGAATGTTAATCCTTTAACAGAATTACCTGGGATGAGGAATGCTCTATATGCTTCTGCCATAAATGATGCACCAATGGAAAAAACTCGTGTTGTGGATAAGCCTACAATTCTCCATCCAGATTCTCGAGTTGAAAGGAACTGGATGGGGCACAAAGCTACCAGTTTGATACTTCAGCAAAATCATGCTTTGCACTCAAACCAAGATATCAGTGGTTACAACCGACTAAATCTGCCAAATGGTAAGCAAATCAACTTTTGAATAATATATTTACGACATGTTTTGTAAGGTGAATTGAATAGTACTGACAATATTAAAGTAGAAAAAAATAGTTAAAATGTATTATATTGCACGGTGTAGTAATTACAAGTCCATAGCTTAAGGAACAAAACAATTCGTTTGAACTTTTCATATGTATTAAGAAAAGAATACATTCATTTCAACTTATATACTAGTCCGTATTCAGGACTTGACATTCTTTCAGGCTAAAAACATTGTTAGTTACTCAACTAATAGCAAAACTTCATGTTAGTCAGCAAACTTTATTTTGTACTAAAAATGGTTACCAAAATGTTCTTTTTGTTCAGTTTGGTTACGTAGTTAAAATCTATTATTCATGCCTTAGACAAAGGTGAATAAGTGTTAGTTGCCGAACAACTGGTTATGATCCTTCATGGGGCATATGATTGTCATGGGATTAACCCGACCCCCTCCATGGTTGAGATAATGATAGGTGAAAGTTAAGTGTTGTTAACAGAATGTCCAACGAGAAAGACTTGACGTGGCATTAACATGGAGGTCTTCCACATCAGGGATTCTGTTAGAAAAACTAAACAGATTTCAGTTGAGTAAGTAAACTAAACTGAAAAAAAAATAAAAAACTCCAGTGACCATTTTTGGAACAAAATAAAGTTTGGTGACTAACATGAAACTTCCCTCTAAGTTGGTGACTGACAGTGTTCTTTACCTCAATTATCATATTTGCAGAAAATATGAACATCGACAAATTTTCACATAGAATATAATTGGAATTTAATCCCAAATTGATATATTGGATGCTGTGTGTTAACAGATTTTTTTTCAGTCCCCTGGCGGCTCAATTATAACCTGAATTTACCCCCAAGATCAGAAGCTGGTGAATCCTCAAGTGCACCCAGCTCCTTCAAATCAGCGCCAGGAACACCAGATGAGCAAAAGCAGTTGAAGAGCTCGCAGCTAGCTGGAGTACCACATTTTTTAGTAGACAAAATCTCGAGCCCTGAAAAAGATAAGCAAGAGAATGTCAAAATATCTCAGCCACCCAGAGATGTTTTTCCTGAGGTAGCGGCAGTACCACATTTGTTGATAGGCACAATCTCAAGCCCGGAAAGAGACAAGCAGGAAAATGTCCAAATATCTCAACTACCTGAAGATGTTCAGGAAAAACATGATGAACATTTGAACAGACTAGACTCATCATCTGCAGCCATTACAACATCACTTCAGGAGAAGAACATTTCTGATGACAAAAATTATGGGGGAATTGATCTGAACAAGACACCACAGAAGAAACCGCCCAAAAGAAGAAAACACCGGCCAAAGGTAATTGTGGAACGGAAACCCCAAAGGACTCCAAAACCTGCTCCTGTGAACAATAATACTCCGAAAGGAAATACTTCGGGAAAAAGGAAATATAAACCCAAAAAGGACATCAAGACCTCTACTCAACTGACTGATGCAAAAAATAAGGTCAAAGTTGTTAATCTTAGCTCTGCAGCAAAACCATGTAGGAGAGTGTTAAATTTTGAATTGGAAAATGGAGTTGAAAAGGAAAGCAAGGAAGGAACAGGTGGTAACCAGGCAGAGACCAATAATGAAAATAAGTTGCCTTTCAATTTGAATTTAGAGAAACCTGAAACGGAGAATTTATATTCTTCCATCCGCTCTGTAGATCAAATCCAGGCACAAGTGTCATTACCTCTTGCATCTGTAGTGCCACCAACTACAGCGAAGGACAGGACTTTGAATGTGATAGCAAGGATTTTGAATATGCGAAATGGCAAAACAAACCAGAGAGGCAGCCAGAGTGGGTACAAACAGGTAAATCAATGCATCAGTGGAGGAGTAGCCCAGCTTGTTATCCAAGCAAATGCCACTAAAGCAAAGCTTGATAGAGAAAGGCAATTGATGCTACAGAGTAGGTCTCAACTTCTAGAAGATTTGGTGGATATAACTGAGGAACGAGGATCAAAGAGAGAATATTCCGACACTCAGCCGACAAATCCTGAAATTTTCAAGACAGGCTCTCAACTATTGTGCCATAGAGTTTCTAAGACAGGCCAGCATAGCAGTGATAGCTGCAACTTATGGCAATTAAGTTCAGAAATTTATAAGAAAAAGAAGGTCGAGGGTAAATTTGATGGAACCTCACCCAGCTTGCCCTCATGTATTACAGCTCTTAAAGATTGCTCAAGGCGGGTTGAAGGAAGAGGCACTGACAGTGTCCATGAAAATAGTTCAATATCACACCTGAATTATGGATTACAAAAACCTGAGCTTGAACGAAAAAACATCGACAAAAAGTCAAACAATGTAGTCGGCAAGGTCACAAGTGAGATTCAGCAGCAAAATACTTTATCTCAAGTGCATTATACAGAACAAATTGCACATAAGAAATTCCATCAAACCACTGAAGCAAAATATGTCAACAACCAGACTGCTAATTGGAATCTGAAGGATCCATCCCAGAGAGACCCTATATCAAATCAAGAAAATCAAAGTATAACTTCTCCTGCTCCTTTGTCTGTGAAAAAAAAGACCACTGGACCAGCATTCTCCGGCCAAGCATTCAGTATGGACAAAGTGTTAAAGCAAGAAGGCAAGAGTGCACGAGGCTACCAATATTCCACCAAAGAAATTTCCGGTAGCTATATGTTGCGAAGCTATACATTTAGCATCAACCTGAATGGCTCTTATACAAATTTATTATTTGAAATAGTAAAGCAGATTTTCTATTTTTGTGCAGGCTCATTAGAGGAACAGAGACATATAACTTCAATTGATGAAATTACAGATCGTTTTGAAGATCTACACATCGCTAATAATGGCAAGGAAATTGTAGGGGCAGAGCACAGTGCACTTGTACCATACAAAAGAGACGGTGTGATTGTTCCACATGCGGAATTCAATCCACTCAGGAAACACAAGCCACGGCCAAAAGTGGATCTCGACCCTGAGACTAACAGATTGTGGAACCTTTTGATGGGGAAGGAAGGAAGTGAAAGCACAGAAACGATGGATGAGGAAAGAGAAAAAAGGTGGGAAGGGGAAAGGAAAGTGTTCCATGGACGAGTAGACTCATTCATTGCACGGATGCATCTTGTTCAAGGTATTTGCATGCAGAACTCTGAAATTTAATATAATTACTGTTATCATGCTTATGCTAGTTAATTATATTTTATACCACGATTCTCTAATCCAACAAATACTTGCGGTTTTTACTTTCTACACAGCATGTTAGATACCCAATTAGTGAATTGTTTAATAAAAATCAAACCTGGAATACAACATAAAGGAATGAAAATTTTATTTATTTATGTATATGCAATAAAACTGCGAAATCTTCGTCAGTAGTTATTTATTATAAGAAACAAATAGTAACATTGCTGCCTATTGCTGACGATTGAGATTGCATCTGGTGAACAAACGCATCTTTGGTCTGATAACCTGCTCGATTTCATCATATTAAGATTGCCTTGAATCAATGATTGTAAGATTTAGTAGAACCTCTATTGCACTTTGCACCAATTCGTCGTGCGTCGTGCATAATGTGCCACTACCATAGCCACAGTCTCACTTCCCACTCCATGCTTGCTTATAGGCAATGCATTCTCGTATTTCTATAATTGCCACTTTAATATTTTAAACTATTTTCAGCCCAATCCCTTATAAATTGGATTTGTGGGCTTATCTTTTCTCAATGTAGGATTCTTATCCCTTGGAGTCCTGATATACTTCTAGAATTTTCTATTATTTTCTCTTTCTTCAATATGGGATTCTTACCCCTTTGGATCCTTTTTAATTTTGCCAACTAACCATTTGATGGTTTTCCAATGTGCGAACAAATTAAATAATTTTTTTTTGAAAAATATTATTCAACAATCTGCAACCATTTTACCAAATGAACTAAATTTTTTACATCTATCTTTTGGCTTCAAAACATATGCCTAGATACTGGTTGTCTTTTGGACTTGAAACTTCACTCATTTGAAAACTTTCGAGGTTAATCATCGTGACATGATAGAGGGAGACAAAGTTCTAACCGTTAACTGAAAAAATGACGCACGATTTTTCATATTCTCGCATGTTCACATGCTTGATATGTGAATTAGCCACATGTCTAATGTCCTGGTTTTTCCATGGGTTTAAGTAACTAGCCAAGCCACATAGGAGACAATGCCATCCCCGACTCTCATGTAGGGAGAATTATAAAGAATATTAATTTAATTACGTCCTCCATAAAAACGTATTATAAGTCTATTAAAAGAATAGTAGTTTATCACTTTACTTGTTACATGCCTCAAGCCTTTTTCTTTAGGGATGTGTACAGTGCGTGCAACCACTAATGCAATGTACGTTACTCATTGACATGAGATCTTTCATGTTTCAAGCGTTGTGTTGAGTTTCCATCATTGGAAATTATTTGTTGGCTTTAATCCCATCTAGTTTGAAGTGTCCAAACTAGATGTGTTGCATGGCCTTTCACCAATGAATCTGTCAAGTTTTGACTAGACTTAATAAAATCATGGTTATTACATCATGAGCTGGCAATTCTCATGCTGAATTATGTTTTCGTCCAATATTTCTAGGTGAACATTAAGCTCTGTACTATAGATAATATTGCTTCACTATCGCTATGTAAAGATGTAGGTGGCATTGACTTTGCCTTAATAAGAATTTTATTAATGAATACCTAAACCATTCAACTTTTTTATTGGGAAAAGAGAGTTCTACAAATAAATTTGTCCTAGTGGAGTCTACTATTCATGTTCTCTTCTTAGAGCCCCAATTTATAGCTCCACCAAATGTGAATATTCACCCACTAGTTAACGTGCTATAATCACTATGACCGATCCAACTAGCATAGGTGAATCCTTCTAAGGCCATATAATAAATTACTCATTCTAAGTGTTTAATAATCTATATAGGCCTTGCCACTACATCTTACTAGTAACATGCTCAATATTCTTGACTTCAAAAGCTTTGTAGGATCTAGTTGACATTAGAGTATACATTAACATCCATTAAATTGAGCATATTCTTGCAACGATAATGATTTTCTCATATATTTTCAATTTAGTAAGATTAGGCATGATACCATGTTCTTTCCCAAAAATTTTGGTATCCGACATCACGTCTAAAACACATAATAGATGACAATAATGGCTTAGCATCTTTAACGTTTTCTTTTTTAGTTCCAAATATTAGATTTTGTCCTCGGACAGTTATAACATTTTTATTGTCATGAAATTTGCTTTTTGCATGTGAATCAATCCTGAAATCACTTTAATAATACTTGATCATTTTTTTTGCTATCTTTTTGGAGCCCATTTAAGTCCATGTCGTGACTTAAATTTGCACTTTGTACTTTTATCTAGTATAATGATTCTTTCGATTTTATATACATTTCTTCATCTAACTCTCTATCCAGGAACACTTTGTATTTCAAATTTATACATTGATACTAGAGCAATTAACATTCTTAAAGTAGTTTGTGTACGAGATATTAGTATTTCGTCCATAGACAGATATAAAACCTTTATTGTCACGAAATTCGCTTTTTGCACATGCTACTTGTAATAATATTTGATCAATTTTTTTGTGCTATTTTTTGGAGCCCATTTGAACTCCATATTGCAACTTAAATTTGCACTTTATACTCTTGTCAAGTATAAAAAATTCCTTTAGTTCAATATAAATTTCTTCATCTGGCTCTCTATCTAGGAACACTACTTTTACATCCATTTGATGTATTTCAAATTTATATATTGATACTAGAGAAATTATTATTCTTATAGTAGTTCTTGTAACTTGTACAACATATAAAACCTAACTACTAGTCTCGCTTTAAACTATTCCGAAGGTTATCAACTTGCATCTTATTTTTGAAGATCAATTTGCAACCAATAGGTTTCGATCCTGGTGGAAGATCAATTGATCTCAATGTGTTTTTACTCATTATGAAGTCCAATTTATCATTAATTACCTTTTCCATGAGGTAACGTGACTTTTTACCTCCTCATATGTTAGGGTATCAAACTAAATGGCCTGTATAATAATAGATTGTTTTACATTTGAGTCCGTGGTACCTTCTACTTGTTTGGAAAATCTCTCAAACAAGTAATGAATGCAGCAGAAATAAAAACGAAAAATGGGCAAGAAAGAGAAAATTATGAATTAAACGTTGTTCAACAAACTATCGAGAAAATGAAATCAATTAACGCAATAAATCTCATAATCATAGAGCTTCCTTACTATATCAACCTCTCTCTACAAAAAATTAAAATACTCAATTTACACCGCACACATATTATTTGATGCATGGAAAGGCCAGAGTGTCGGACATCGACACATATTGGACATGACTAGATATGTGTTATATTCGCCACTTGGCATGTCCCATTTTTTCTTATTCACTCAAGTCGTCAACATATAGCCGACACTTTTTGTATGAAAAAAGAGGAAAAATTGCAAAGAAACTAAGAGACAACAATGGATCAACAAACAAAATGCCAGTCAACACTTGGTAAAGCAAGAAATGGGATAGGAAGAGACAGTTCTGTGTAGATCTGTTAAGTTGGGAAACGGAGATCAATTTTGAATGTAGATAACTTGAATGCGAATTGGGGAAGAGAATTTCATTGTATCATATGTTTTTCTTTTAGTGCTAAAGTGATATTGGGCTTTTGCTTTTTTAAAACTTATGTTCAACAAGGTCTTATTAATTCAAAATGAGTTAGATTGTGAGAAGGTTTGACTCATTGCAAAGGACCCTTGTAATATTAACATGCTCTTTGGATTTTAACTCCAATTACCAAAATTACCTATCGGTAGGCTTGGTCATCGAGTGGGTCGATCCGGTATTTCAATACCAAGAACATCTATTGAGCTTTTAGTATTTCGTAAATAAAGTCATTTTGGTCCACATAATTAATGGAATCGAACCCGAACTGTCAATTCCGATTCGGGTTTTGTTCCATCCATAATTTTTTTTAAAATTATGAACCGACAATACAAAATAAATTCCTAATAACTAGCAAAAGAAATATAACATGTTTTCAAATACATATTTAAACACTTTTTTAATCCACTGCAAATATTCCACCCAATAACATCCAATATCCAGCCTAAAGTATCCAATTCTGACCGTGGCTTTGTTGCGACGCCTCAAAAAGATTTTGTAGGACAAGCAACATGTAAGTGCGATCATGAGTGGCGACAAGCATGAGTGATATAATTCAATTATTTAAATGAATGAATCTGATTGATTAGTGTACTTACTACTAGGACCTTACAAACTTGCTATTTGTTGGGTGAGGTCATCCTGTCAGAGTGAATAAATTGTAAAAAATAAAAAAACTTATAAAAATGACAAATTCAATTCCAAAGCCGGATACCCACGGTTCTAGTTTAAGAATCAAGAATCATTTGGGACCTCGATCAGTTCTCGACTCCGATTAGGAAGGTTGGGTACCGATTAAAATGCTAACCCTTACCCGTCTGCATGTTCGTGTTGGTGCATCCTAGACATACACACATGTACCTCACTCTAATTTTTATCTTTTTAACACTTTTCTCTATATGCGCACTCACCTTTGCTGCATGGTTCCTTCTCCCTTTGTACTGCGTATTCTCTTTGTACAATTAAGTAAGTTAACCGTTGATGATCAATTAACACATTAATCTAATCGCAGATATTGTTTTGGCCAAAATACACATCCTTTGATCTAATCTACCACATGATTTTGTCATCTTCTGATCACCTCAAATCAACGACTGAAAAGACTTAGCACCACGTCAAGTGCACCTCACACTATTGTTGAGTGCAGAATGCACCACTAGAGCGGCCAAACGCACTCAATTGTACCTTGCCATATTCTACACTTGCTACTATAATAAGTTTAAACCATATACTATCCAAACCCTTATAATATGTTTATGGGCTTATCTTTTTTCGCCATGGGATTCGTATAATACTTGTACAGTATATGTTCTTTTCATCATTCTCAAATGTGGGATTCTTATCCCCTTGGAACCTATTAAATTTCTCCGAAAAACCATTCTATTGATGGTTTTACAGTTAGGCCATGTTTGATTGCAACGAATTCCATGGAAAATGTCACATCCGAGGAAAACGAATTCCACTTTCGCCATTTGATTGCAACGTGGCAATGAAAACCGAATTCCAAAGTACAACCACTTTAAACTGTATTTTCTTTGTTTTCATGGAAAATGAATTCCTATGGGTTTGGTGAGTTTTTATTTTCCAACTAACATGGAATTGGAATTCCTTTTCACCTTTGCCTTTCAAACAGACCTTTAGTGAACAAATTATTCTATTGAAGACACTCTCTCACATAACTGATCCAGTTCATAGTCCATCATGTGAAGATTCACATGTAAACATGGGATATAAGTTGTAACATCAAGTTTCTTGCAGCTTTAACGTTGAAAGTTGCGAGTGTTCTTTTAGCCACATCACTTTTAAATATGGAAAGGAAGACATTGATGAGCTAAAGCTTTTTAACTACTCTATTTACCAATTTTTTCTTTTCATGTTTACCATATAAATGCATAAACCGTACTAAATATTAACTAAAAAGAAATAATCTTGATTTACCTGAACAAAATGCATCAAAATGCATGAAGTAATGGTTGATAACTTGAAACAAGATTGGAATATTTGCAGGAGATAGAAGGTTCTCCAAATGGAAAGGATCCGTAGTAGACTCAGTAATAGGGGTGTTTCTCACACAGAATGTGTCGGATCATCTTTCAAGGTAAAATCAATGTTATTGGCAGGATTCTTAGGGGCAAAACAAGATTAACAACAGGAGCTAATTATCACTATATTTTCTCTTCCCTTGCATGCAGCTCCGCCTACATGTCTCTTGCAGCCAAGTTCCCTCTCCAAACGACAACCATCAGGCCAACATGCTACCAAAATGGTGGAAGTCCATTGGTTGAAGGACAGGTTCAAATAAAGTATCCTGGCCGAAACAAAATTTATGACCACAGAATGATAAGGCACCCAGTATACAACTTCAGCTCCGTAACATCCAGGCAATCACGTGAACACGGGGCAGAAAATGACAAGACGGGAACAACGAGATTTTTAACCAACGTACATGACAGAAGAAAAGAGGAAGATGGCATGTCATCACAAAGTTCTACGGAAACCTTCTTTTTTCTAGCCACTGATTCAGAATTTGAAGATCAAATAAATGGATGCAATTTCAGAAAAAAATATAGTGCTAATTCTTTCCAACAGGCTGAAAGAATCACAGCATTCCAGGAATATCAGTATCGAGTGACAGGAAGTTCATTTCCAGATAAGAGACCCTTGCTTGGTAATCAGCAATTAGAAAATCCAGTGACTTATGGGCAAAATCTGAAACTGGATATTGGTAGTGTACCACATGCTTATCCTTTCACTGCTGACGCGATGCATCATCAGACACTTGTTCCTCTGTCCAGTAATTATCAGTTCAGCATGACTACAGACTTGGAAGAATGGGAAGCACGCTTCCTTGGACTTTCAGAGAAAGAAACCATGTCTTCTATGACTTCAACAGCTTTTGAAATAACCCCGGAAACCAGTGCAGGACATACACAGGATTGTGTAGGACCACGTGCAGACAGTAGTTTCATCACCCAGCAGACCAGAATACCAACATTTCAAGAATCAAGAGTGGATCATACAATTTCAAGCATGCACCAGGAACAGCAAATTAGTTTACCAGCAGGGTCCCATACCATAAAGGGTCGACGTTCCATCGACTCTAACCAAGAACAGAGGAATGAGACATTTCAGCCAGGAAGAATCTTTGTGACAGAACCCAATAGACATGCTGAAGTGCTCAGTGAAAAGCCAAGCGGTAATGTACGGCAAGACCTTCACTCCTCTAGTTTAGCAGTACAAAGTTTTGATGTCCAAGTGAAAACTATTGCAGATAATCTGAAACACCTGGCAAATGGAACTAAAGCAAAAGGATTCGAGCAAGTCTCTTCTTTGAGTGAACCATCCAATCAGATAGGTACCAGAACCTCAAATGTAAGAAAGAGAAAGGTTGAAAAGGAAAAGATGGAAGCATTTAATTGGGATAGCTTGAGAAAGCAGGTTGAATTGAATATTGGACAACAAGAAAGAAGCAAGGACGCAATGGATTCTCTGGACTATGTAGCATTAAGAAATGCTAATGTTCGTGAGATTTCTGAAACAATAAAGGAAAGGGGAATGAACAACATGCTAGCAGAGCGAATTAAGGTATAAAGAATAATTTTAATAATACTCCACTAGAAGTATCTACTTTTTGAAACACAAAAATCCAAGGCAACGTTGGTCGCATATTTCTGTAGGATTTTCTGGATCGACTGGTTCGAGAACATGGAAGAATCGACCTAGAATGGTTAAGATATGTTCCACCAGACAAATCCAAGTAAGCTTTCTCAAAGAAACTAATCTGATCATGTATTAATCAAAATATTTATCCATCTCCAAAAATCACTTTCCGATTTCAATGAAAAACAATGTCTTGTAGAGATTACCTATTAAGCATACGAGGACTGGGGCTAAAGAGTGTGGAATGTGTACGCCTCTTAACACTTCATCATCTTGCTTTCCCAGTAAGGACAATTACCAGTTATGGATCTCTTATAACTGACAAGGAAAATAAATTGTTGCACTAACTGTTCAGTTTGTTAGGTTGACACAAATGTTGGACGAATTGCTGTGCGACTTGGATGGGTTCCTCTCCAACCACTTCCTGAATCACTTCAATTGCATCTCCTTGAACTGTGAGTATATATTTTTCGTAATCAAAATTTTTTTTTTACCAACCATTCCTGATATTAATCGTGTTTCCAAGCAGATATCCAGTGCTGGAATCGATACAGAAATATCTTTGGCCCAGACTCTGTAACCTGGATCAGAAAACCTTGTAATTTACTTGTGCAGAACGACTCTGTTAATTAGAATCACATTTTACTCTTATCATAAGAATTCCATGTGAAAGACTGTCATGACATACCCTTAGATGTTTCACTGAATAATATACAATGGAACTACAGGTATGAACTACACTATCAAATGATAACATTTGGGAAGGTATGACCTCACATTCCTTAGAGCTCATTTTTACTTTATTAGAATCATTTATTTTATTTTTTTCTCTTTTTGTAAATATTAGAAATCATATACACTGACCACATGGAAAGGACTTTTTAACAGGTAATATTTTTTTATACCAAATACAGGTTTTCTGCACAAAAAGAGAGCCAAATTGTAATGTGTGCCCAATGAGAGGAGAATGCCGACACTTTGCCAGCGCTTTTGCAAGGTTAGACATCGGTCTCAATAATCATGTACACTTGTAAATGACAACAACTTAAAGCTCATCAGAAATTGACTGAACTTAAATTCAAAACATACATGCCAATAAGATGAATACATACATTTGGTGCAGTGCACGACTTGCTCTTCCAGGACCAGAAGAGGGACAACATACATGCCAATATGATGAATACATACATTTGGTGCAGTGCACGACTTGCTCTTCCAGGACCAGAAGAGGGACGTATAGTGAGTTCAGCTGCACCTACAACCGCAGATAAAAACTCTTGTATAACATTAAGGCCTTTACCACTACCTCCATTGGAGGATAACTTAAACAGAGGAACAGGTTTAAGTATGGGATCACGTGATCCTATTATTGAAGAACCAACAACACCAGAACAATTTACAGAAGTATCAGAAAGTGATATTGAAGATGCATTCTACGAGGATCCCGATGAAATCCCTACCATTGAACTCAATATAGAACAATTCACTACAAATTTGCAAAGCTTTATGCAAGAACACAGCATGGAAATGCAAAAAGGAGATATGTCCAAGGCCCTGGTTGCTTTGAGTCCAGCACTTGCTTCTATTCCAATGCCCAAACTGAAGAATGTGAATCGATTACGGACAGAGCACCGAGTGTAAGTATTAGAACTCATTAAGTATGAAATTCTACAAGAATTAAGTGTGACCAGACAAATGTTCAAATTAGGCCCTGTTTGGTACACAAAGCTCTGTTTGACACCTATAAAAATTTTCATTATCATTCTTCTAACTCATTTTTAACCATACATTCTTCAATAAAATAATATTTTTCATTACATCAATAATTTTTTTTTCTTTTTCAACCACACATTCTCCATCAACCTACTATTCAATAATACATTCTTTCAAAAGAATGTGTCCCAAACACACTCTTACATTTAGTAAAGCAAAAATGTATACAATGCACATGCAATTCAAGTTGCTATCTTTGGAAGTTCTGTTTTGGAACAAAACATGTAAGCCACTACACTGGCCAAGCATCAATTTAATACATAACTATTTACCTGACCGTTAAGCTATTATGCCCCTGTTTGTCTATCATTCTCCAAAAACTCATTTTCAACCACACATTCTCACAAATAATATATTTTGCACGTAAACCCAAAAATTTTCCCTAGCTTCTACATATTCTCCAAAAAAATCACTGTTCCAAAACTCATTTTTCCCAAAAAAAATCCTTTTAATGGGCATCAAACAGGGGCAATTTATTTTTGCTAGTCAGAAAGAATGTATTCACTCTACAAAAGCTAGAAAATTGATTCTACTCAATCACCAGACATTATTGTAGAAACCTGTTACACCTCCCACAACCTTTTGCATGATAACCACTCTAAGTAATGAACTTCGCCGCCACCTAAATAAACCTATTTCTGCCGATACTTGACCAATTATTTTAAAAATCAAGTCTGATATTGATAATCATTTTCTGGAACCTTAATTTGCTGCAGGTACGAACTCCAAGATTCACATTCTCTTCTGAAAGGGGTTAGTAATTTTTTCTCTGTTTTTAACTCTTACATTTTTGCTTATATGCAAATTAATTCCCACTGACCATGAAATTTGTTAACCTTAGCTGGACCGACGAGAGCTTGATGATCCTAGTCCGTACCTTCTTGCTATATGGACACCCGGTAAGCACTAGAGTTACAGGGTGCTGAATCACTTCTATACACCCCAAATGTCCACATAATAACAAAAACAGTATCTCATGGTGAAAGAAGGCTGAAACCCTTCGATACTCTGTTTTAAATCGAATGTATTTGTTGACAATTTTTAGAGCCACTGTAGGTTTGGGTTTAAAATCTCCAAAACTTCTTATTTGGTTTGAATTATTAATGTTAGATAGAATAGCTTTGTCAATAATTAAATAAGGTGTTAAGAAGTTTAATTCGAGTGGAAAGAAACAGATTTTCAAGAGACGGGGACAAAAATATAGTTAGTTGTCATGCTCTCTTATTTGCATACCATTTGACCCAATTTGGCATCATCTGAACCAGGTGAAACCGCAGATTCAATTCAACCTCCTGAAAGTAAATGCAATTCTCAGGATTTAGGGGGACTGTGCGATAAGAAGACGTGCCTTTCATGCAACAGTGTAAGAGAAACACAATCACAAACTGTGAGAGGCACACTTCTGGTGAGCAGCACAAGAATGATATACCTAATGAGAATTATCACCAATAAAAGCAAAACCATAGACATAGATGACCTTTTTAGCTAAATTACTTATCGTGTTGCAGATACCGTGCAGAACAGCAATGAGAGGTAGCTTCCCACTCAATGGCACATACTTCCAAGTCAATGAGGTAAATCTAATTCTTATTATTGGATAATTTCTCTCTAATAAGTCAATGATTAAAGGTACCATGATTCAGTAAAAGGGAGTATCTTGTCCACTGTATAAGGAGAGGATTATGTTCTCATCTTTATGAATCAATAAGTGGAGATTATGACGCACAATTAACGCTTTTGCAGGTATTCGCTGATCATGAATCCAGTCTTAATCCTATTGATGTTCCAAGAAATTTGTTATGGAACCTGCCAAGGCGAACAGTTTTCTTCGGTACCTCTGTCTCGACCATTTTCAAAGGTACATATAGTGATTAATTTATAGCTTGATATAATGCAAAAGTGGCTTAAGGAAAGAATATTGGTGTTTGCCAGGCTTGTCAGCTGAAGATATTCAATACTGCTTTTGGAAAGGTATGAACTGTCTCTTACGTGACAATCATGTAAAATAATTCACATTTGATAAGATGAAAAGACCTAGAATTTCAATAAACTAATGAACTATTTAACCTTAGATTATAGAGGAAAGTAGGGAGAGAAGCTTGTAGATCAACAGTGTAATAGAAGTCTAAGATACGAACATCTTAAAGATGCTACGACATAGACAGAATGTGCCCCTGCTTTCAAGTTCTTAATAATTGACATTAAATGCACGTTTAATAATTTTGTTTATTATATTGTCTAGTCGCACTTAATGTCATTAAAATCTTATTGCAGGATTTGTTTGTGTCAGAGGTTTTGACCGGAAATTGCGGGCACCTAGACCTCTAATGGCTCGATTGCATTTTCCTGCAAGTAAGATGGCTAAGAAAAATGAACATAAGATAAAAGGAAGAAATTCTGCTGAGCAAAACCGAAACCAAAAAGGGGAGGGGCCTCCTCAGCGCTGATGAAGACAACAAACGAGTTCTCCATAATAAGGGTTTTTCTCCTCAAGAGTGTGAATGGAGAAAGTAGCCGTAGAGGAAATATAATTTTTGGAATGTAATATTGAGCGTGTATCAATCAAATATGGTACTCGGAAATGATACGTTCACATGCAGGTCCACGTGTATTTTAGAGCAATATTTGGTTATACATCCTTTCTAGAAAAAAAGTATTTTTATTAGTATAATTTGTTAAAAGTATTGTATTTAAAATATAAGTAACTTAAAAAGTTCTTTTAAGCACAATATAGCATGCTCTTAATATAATTTAAAATATGAGTGATGCTATGCGTACACAATGGTGTACACACGATTTTACACCCCCCTCACATGGAGGGGGGGCCACACACAGTAAAATATTCGTGAGCCCCTCTTCATGTGAGGGAGGTGTAAAGCTATGTGTACACCATGAGGTGTACACATAGCATTTTTCTTAAAATATTTGGTATGAAGTATTTTACTTAAGAGGTGTCAAAATTGTGTTTTCCGACTGAGGCCAAAGAATAGTTTTTACCATTGTTATCGTAATGGTTAGATAAATTTGAGTTCTACATACTACAAAGTCGAATAATTACATTTTTCATATTTTAACAAACATGAAGTTACTTTGGCAGAAATTTGTGGGGGCAAAAATGAAATATCTACAATCACATTTTGATCTGTGAACACACGTAATGTAAATATGAAAATAATTTTGAATTAAAAAAATCAAATAATTTTTTTTCCTAATTATATACATTTGTTCCTTAAAGGTCAATACAAAATTATTTTTCCAATTTTCCCTGATTCAGCTTTTGAAAATATAAACAAGAAAACTAGAATAGCCAACTCGAACTCGTCAACTTCAGAGGTTACCACTTGTATTTTGTCGGTCTGACACCTAAGAGGCATTGAGAACGAATTGGCAACAAATTGGAATGTAATGAGGTCCACTTATTCAAATAATTTTATTTATTTATTGGTTTTTGGTTATTATTAAAAATAAATAAAACAGGTTGCTTGTGGCCCGATCTGGCCCACTCAAGGAACATCGATGCCAGGACGGGCTGGCCAGGTGAAGCCCATATTTGCATGCATCCCTAAAGGGAAAAGTTTATGGGTCAGGTGTTTACTATTCCAAAATTAAAAATCAGGCCCGACAGTTTAAAATTATAAAAATCAGATTTTTCTTAAATTAATTAATTACATTTCATAATTATTATATTAAATTAAATATTTAACTGTAATATAATAAAAT